GTATGGAAAAATATGGGCTATACCATACCATACCATACGTTCTGCAAGAGTTATACCATACTGAATCTCTCCCTACCAATCTGAAACCCTATAAATTTTTTTTTCAGAAAATGTATGGTTTTTAAATTTTGCCAATTTCTTCAGAAAATTTTCATGGGCAAAATTTGACCTAAACCAAAATTGCCTAAACTATGTGTTGGTTTTGGCCATCATTACTATATAGTCTTATTTCTTGAATTATATCTTGCATCATGAATTATGTCTTGCGGCATGGCACAACACCAATTACAGCTTTAGATGAATAAATCTTAATTATTATTTACTTCATTTAATGGAATTTATCATCAGACCCGAAACAACCCAAAATTTTTGGGTAGGTCTTGGCTTGCCTTTTAAAACATTTGGATCAAATTTGATTGAAATTTTAGGTCGGTTTTGGGCTAACACTTAATCCGCCCAAACCAGTCCATTCAGAGCTTTAATCATAATCTTGGCCTATAAAATTAGCAACCTTAAAGTATATAGCTAGTTGGTCAGTATGTAGAAATTGCATACCATACTGAAGAAAAGAAAAAAATGGTATGTAGAAAGCACATACCATACTGGGGGTGTTTGTGATATGAATTGCTATGTTGAATTTGTGATTTATTTTAGTATGGTGCATTTTCTATATATTCCTAACTGGTTTACTTTCTTATTCTTGAAGAATCCTTTATTGTTTTATTGGCTCAGGTTTTGTAATTCCTTAACTTTGATTTTCAACTCCTTTAAAGGTAAGATTATAAAATTTTTGGAAACTAACTATTATGCTTTAAAACCTTTTGACCAATTCACTGAATTTGTAAACTTAATTCTTTTTTTTAAAAGATATTTATATGGTATATCATAAAGATAGTTGTTCTAGTTGTAATCTTGCATACTTCATGAAAAAGGCATGTTTAAAAGTTGAGTATCAGACTTAGAGGAGAATATCTTTTCATTAGACCTAATTCTAAATGTCATGGTGGTATAATTTAACTACCAAAAGACATATCAATGATATATGGGAAATGATTTCCCAAGGGTGAAATAATATATTACCAGTTTTAAAAGATACCATTGGCAAAATCATCTATCACCCAATTGGTTATAGAATTAGTCTGTCTGCTGAAAAACTTGGTGGTCAAAATCAACCCTATTTATACATGCAAATAGTTCCCAAATATAAAAAAGCTTATGGCACTGTGAGTTCAAGAGATAGTTACAAGTAAAGATGTTAGCCGAAATTATTTCACTTAGTAAATGATTGTCACCAAATCCGAAATGCCAAAATATTTTTTCATAGTTGCCAAAATTAACTTTATTAATTGCCGAAATTATACTCAAAATTATTTGAACACTTTAACTCAATAGCCAAAATTCTGGGTAGTTTATTTATGTCCATTATTATGAAAATATTGTAAATCCAAAATTGCCTGCCAAAATTGATTTTTTCAAAAACCATTTCGGCTAACATCTTTAGTTACAAGTCAGCTACTCCTGAACAAGTGAAGAAGCACTTCAGTCTAATTAAGACAATATTATTGCCCAAAGAAGCAGAATGATTACCAGATTACATAATGAAAAGTCATTTTGATATACAGCTATCTCCACCAAATATCATTTATCAAGGCAATCAATAGACCCCCAAAGTTGACTTGATCTCAGACAGGCAAGGTCTTACAAGAACTTATAAATTAGATGTTCATGATTTTGCCATTGGATGTGAACTAAGAGAAAAGAAAAACGAGGAGATATTATTCCTACTTGGGATAATTAATATTTTATTTATGGGACATTTTAGACCAAGATTTGTTTGCCTATAAAAAATTCAGTAAGGAAAATGTATGGAAGGCGCAGTTTCCTTGCATTCCCATTCAAAAAATAGTTGGAAAGTGCAAGGAAACTGCGCCTTCCATACATTTTCCTTACTGAATTTTTATAGGGCTGTTTAAGAATATGTGAATTTCATAAAGAAAACAATTTTCTTATGTGATTATTCATTTTACATAAAATTCATTGCATGTATTTAATTAAATACATATCATTAAGTTTATTTAACAAAGATCAGAAATGATAACATCAGGAAATTTTCCCTGCTGTAATATTATGTCCATAAATTTTAATATGTAAATTTGTAATATTTACATAAAAATTATGTAATATTTACACTAGTAGGGACAAAATGTATTTTCTGGTGCACTTTTTTGATACCCACATTGTATTTTTTTGATTTATTAACTCCAAATTTGATTCTGACCAATTTAATAAATTTTGATGTAGAATTAAAATGAATTTGCTTCATACTTTTAGAATATATAACCTCTTTGCATTATTTTTAATTTAGAAGCCAAAAAACAGTAACTTTATATTTTTATATCTATATTGCATTAAAATTCCCCATAAAACTAAAATTAACTATATCACATTAATGATCCTCAAAATAAATTTAAAACCCAGATTCAATATCAAAAAAAAATTCAAACACATTGTACTTTTTATAAGTATTCTAGAATACTTTCTACTCCATCAATTTAATCAAGATCAATATCATAGTTCTTGATTCTTAAATTAACCTAAAGCCAGTCCTTATATAAATATGTTTTAAATAATCTCAAATCCAAAATAAAACAAAAAAATAAGGGTACCAAAATTTATAAAGGTATTTGCTATCCAAACAATTTTTTATCATTGTTAGCAATATAGGGAAAAAATAATACCTTTTATCAAGTTATTTAATGAAAACAATAACATATGAATAGTTAACAAAAAATACAATGAAAACAAAACTGCTTTGTACTTTTTTCCAGAGGGTACCAAATATTTTTAAACAAAGGATAGCAATTTTTTTATATTTCAAATGTAATAGTAAACTTGGTGGAAAAATATCACAAAAAGAATACGAGCAAGTGCAAAATATACATGCAGCCCAAATTGGTTTGGTGATTTTGATGGTCAAAATTATTCCAATTTTGATGGTAGAAAGTAGAAAATAATTACGGCATTCACTATTAAAAACATAAGTGTAACCCTCTGTGTAACCCCCTTTATGACAGTGTCAAAATACTTTGGGCTGCATGTATAGTGCAAAACATTTGGAAACATTTAATTGCAATAATTTAGGAGATTATCATGATTGATACCTAAAAACAGATGTACTTATTCTTTCATATATATGGAATACATTCTGTGAAAATTCCATGAAACAATATAAACTTGATCCAAGCCATTATGTATCTACAACTTCATTAACATGGGATGCAATGTTAAAAATGACTGGAGTTGAAATTGAGCTCTTTACAGATATATAAATGCATGATTTTATTGAAAAAGCAAAAAAAGGAGGTATTTCATTAGCTTGTCATCGTTGTCAATGCAAATAATTTATATGGTTGGGCCATGAGTCAGTTTCTTCATATTAGGAATTATAAGTGGATGTAGGGCACATTTAAATGGTAATCTTGAATTACAAAATAAATGGCTTAAAACAATTCTCAAAACAAAAGCTGATGCACATTGAGGATATTTTATAAATATAAAAGCTCATTTTCCTATAGGTACTCACAATAAACTTAGGGATTTACCACCAACAGTTGAAAATATTGCAGTAAAACATGATTGGCTTAGTTATCATAATAAGGAGCAAATAGAAAAATTAGATAATAATTGATTTTCATCAACAAATAAATTAGTTACTCATCTTTGTCCACAGGATAATTATGTTATACATTATCTAGGGCTTCAATATTATGTAAAATTGGGTTTAGTTATAGATGAAGTTTATGAAATTTTATCATTTGAACAAACTAATTGGCTTGCATCATATATCAAATTTAATACTGAAATGTGTCAAAAAGCTACTAATGATTTTAAAAAAGATTTCTTCAAACTTATGAATAATGCAACCTTTGGTAAAACTATGGAATTATCAGGATGTAAAACTCATGCCAATGCAATATGATGAAAAAAAAAACCAAAAAAAGTAAATAAACCATCATTTAAATATGCCCATCAATTATCTGAAGAATTGGTAGGAGTCATTTAGGCAAACAAGAGGTAACTCTTAATAAACCAATAATTGTTAGAGCATCAGTTCTAGGACTTAAATTGCATATGGTATGATTATACATGCAGCCCAAAGTATTTTGACACTGTCATAAAGGGGGTTACACAGGGGGTTACACTTATGTTTTTAATAGTGAATGCCGTAATTATTTTCTACTTTCTACCATCAAAATCACCAAACCAATTTGGGCTGCATGTATAGGTATGATTATGTAAAAAAAAATTATGATAATAAAGCCATTCTTGGTTATATGGATACAGATTCTTTTATATTTATGACTGAAACTGAGGATATTTATAAGGATATGGCAGAAAGGCCAGAAATATTTGATCTTAATAATTCTAAAGTTATTGGATTATTCAAAGATGAATGTCCTAATAATGTAATTGCAAAATCATTTCAAATTTGCACTAAAAAACTCCTATAAAATAGTAAAAATAATTTAAATATGTTGTTATTAAAAAAGAATACTCACCCAATCTGCATCCATGTCTAATGCCCATTGGAATTTTTCATGAAGACTTTTGTTAAAAATCTTAGCAATTGGTACTTCATACTTTTTGCACCATGCTACAGAAATACATGGGTCTATCTAATTAATTTTTGATGTACCCAGTGCAATTGTCTTATTGTCTTCTTTAACTTATTTCAACAATTTGTTGGTTTTGATACATTCTGTCAATTTTTCTATTTGGATCTGTATTTAAAATATAAATAAAAAAATTGCAAGATTGTATCATTGTGTCAATCAAGCTATCAAGCTGTTATGTTTGTGCATGATTTAAAATTCTTTTGTGCTAATTTAGGTCCCATCTTTCTCTGTTTATATATAATCTATTGGTTCTCTTTTTACTAGTCAAATTGGGTAATGGGTATTCAGCAAATATCAGAATCTGATTATTCTTTAAAAAAATAATCAAGGTATTAGCATACTGATAAGTTAATAATATTCTTAGTATTTTTATCATATAGTCTAAAAGCCTATTAGTAAATGTTGAAAGTGCCAACATTTATCAGATATTCTTTTAAAATTATTGTTAATTATTGGCTTAGTTTAATAAACCAATAACTCTTTTTTATGTTGTAATTAAGTTATTGATTAAATATTTCTAAAACTCTTTGTACTAAAATAATATCATAATCTTGAGCAGCAGTTAGATTTCTATTCAAATAAGGTTTACTTGAATAAAACGAATTAAATGAATAAAATGAATAAAACGAATTAAACGAATTAAACGAACATAACTCTGATGGTCTACACTACTGTGAAGAATCTTCATGATTATTATGTGATATTGTGCTCACATACTCCCAATGACACCCTCCAGTATGAGTTCAAAGTCATCAACATACTGAACTAATACCTTGGCTTTTAATCCTAGTTATGCGTTGTGCTTCAGTCAGGGATGGAAATTCTTGAGTAGTGTTATCATCAAAAATCTGCTTGACAGCATGTCAACAACAATCCCCCATAGACTGTGTGTACAGCATTTGAGTGTTTTCTTTTGATCTACACCATTCGAAATTAGATACTTTATTATTAGTAGCATTTTGAAGAATAATTTAAGCAAAAATTGTTTTATTGCACCAATCACATGTGGTCACATGTCCTGACCGATTGATATTAATATTAATATCATATTTTTTTGTTTCATTCACGAAAAATAACAAGTTCACATACCGTAAAGTCTGGAAAGATAGCACCCCTTACTTTAAAACAATTGAGCGTCAATATAAAAAAAATGTTACACATATGTAAAAAGGGATGCTATCTTTCCAGACTTTACGGTATCTGTATTTTTCACTCAATTAATTGTAATTGTCAAGTTCCATACTGATATCAGTCTCTTGGTTATAATCACATTACCATAAACAAAGGAATCCCCATTATTTTTTGTCATATGTGAGATGCAAGTCTTTTGTTTAATCCATAGCCTCGAATACTCCCAATGACACCCTCCAGTATGAGTTCAAAGTCATCAACATACTGAACTAATACCTTGGCTTTTAATCCTAGTTATGCGTTGTGCTTCAGTCAGGGATGGAAATTCTTGAGTAGTGTTATCATCAAAAATCTGCTTGACAGCATGTCAACAACAATCCCCCATAGACTGTGTGTACAGCATTTGAGTGTTTTCTTTTGATCTACACCATTCGAAATTAGATACTTTATTATTAGTAGCATTTTGAAGAATAATTTAAGCAAAAATTGTTTTATTGCACCAATCACATGTGGTCACATGTCCTGACCGATTGATATTAATATTAATATCATATTTTTTTGTTTCATTCACGAAAAATAACAAGTTCACATACCGTAAAGTCTGGAAAGATAGCACCCCTTACTTTAAAACAATTGAGCGTCAATATAAAAAAAATGTTACACATATGTAAAAAGGGATGCTATCTTTCCAGACTTTACGGTATCTGTATTTTTCACTCAATTAATTGTAATTGTCAAGTTCCATACTGATATCAGTCTCTTGGTTATAATCACATTACCATAAACAAAGGAATCCCCATTATTTTTTGTCATATGTGAGATGCAAGTCTTTTGTTTAATCCATAGCCTCGATCTTCCACAATACTCTTTTTCAAGTATATGAGATAATACTTGTCCCCAATGAATTCCTTAACCATTACTTCATTGTGAAAATCAGAAGTAATACTATGCATATTAAGCATAGTGGACACTGTTGCAGATCAACAGTCATTTGTATAATATGCAGGTGGTTACACAGAGCCTGTTTCTTCTGAAACTTCACTAGAATATAGCTGTAACCTCTCTAAGTCCAGATCATCAGCAAGATCAAAATTATCTCACACTTTTATAATCAAACTTTTGCAAGAACTTTCACCATTACATATGTTATGTTGATCATTTTTTTGTGATCTGCAACAGTATCCACTATGCTTGCATATTAATATATTTTACGGAATCTTTCTTAAATGCGGGTATGTAATAGTTGAGTGTTTTTTCCATATTTTCTGATTGTCAATTTTTTTTTTTTTTGAAAAAAAGGATTTAACATTTGCCGTGTCACGATCTCCTTCCAAAGCTCGCAAGTCGTGCGACTTCCGTGCAGTTTTCTCGCCGATTGTCTTCTTTTGCGTCTAGCCGCGCCTGGTCTTTTCGGTTTTTGGCGCGATCAACGTTTTCACCATGTTTAGCAAAAAATTGCGTCGTACGGCAAATGTTTTGTTTTATAAAACAGGTTGCAATTGCAATTGAAACCGAAAAATCTTTGTTTTTTAAACCTATTTTTTTGGGAAGGAATTTTTTGCTTTCGCTGGGTGGTAATTTCAGAAAAAATTTGATCTACGTAAACTTTATTGCGAAAAAAAAAAAAATACAAAGAATAATAAAAATTATTCGGTGTCACAACTCTCATCACCATCGTCGTTTACCACTGTTTCATTCTCAATATTATCATAATCATTTTCAATGTTGTACAAATTTTCTGCTGCATCTGTATAACCTTTATTATTGCTGACAACTTCGTTCATTGTATGTGTCAGTTTCGTTGCCCTTGGTGTGCTTGATTCTTCCTGTGGGTCATGGTCTGCACTTCTTCTTTTTTTACCCGACTCCCTGATGTGATTTGTGGTCT